CTCAATGAACATCCTTTTTCCCTCCATGATCGGCTTCATAATCGCTGACTGACAGCCATTCAAACTTCATATGTCAATTGAATATATTTGGTTCTTGGTGCATGTCATTTTTATTTAAGATCAGATTGAAAATGTTCAACTGGCAACCATTTTGTTCTAACAAATGCAGTTTCCTTGCCTTATCTCTTGACCAAGCACATTCAAACTTTGTACATAAGCACCTGTATTTATTTATTTATTTATTTATTTATTTAATAATCAAATTCAAAATGGCTGAATGGCAGCCATGCTTGTGCTAAAAAAGCATCAAAATAAAACATTTCACAATCCTCATGGATTGAATTCATTCAAACTTAGTATGTACATTGAGGATCATGAAACCTTGTTTTCAGATCCCGTTTGAAATGGCTGACTGGTGGCCATTTTGTTTCAACGAATACTGGTTTAGAGTGATTTCTGACATGGCTAAACCACTTTCACACTTCACACATACATGTCACACATTTGCACATGCATTTGTTTTATTATCTGAATCAAGATGGCTGAATGGCAGCAGTTTTAGTGCTATGAATGTCATGTACAGATTAAAGGAATGAATCGCATATACCGGTATTTAGCTGATTCTATTTCGATCATGTCTGTCATGAGTGTCTATTCGTAACAGATAAAGTAAAGAAATGTATCAGCTGTCATACCACCAGCATCAACTGTAACACCACTCTACTGATGTAATCTCCCATCTTACTAGCCTCATTAAATTCAATTGACACATTTAAATAGGTCATTTCATCTGCATGAATAAATCATTTCAGTTGCATGAAATTGTTCATTTGACACGTAATCCTCCCCCTTTTTGAGATTGTCTGGTGTTTAGCTCATAGAAGATTACTTTGACAAAGTACTGAAGAAAGTACTGTCATTTTCAGTGAATAGTTTTAAAAATTTGAAAGGTGGGGCATTTCCTTGTGTGTTTCAATCCTTGAAGGTACATTGTAGCTAGTATTGTACAGGTGAGCCTTTAAACACACTATTTAACCCATTGCTTCATTAATTATAATTTTAATAATTGTAAAGGAATATTTTTGAAACTATCTTTTAAGCAACTCTTGTACCGTGGTATTGAACTTTTTTCAGCTCATTTCAAAATGCTGAGGCATGATTCAAATGTACTCAAATCTCAGTGATTGAAAAAGATTATAGTTTTCCCATGGATGTTATTAAAGGCATGTAATAAAAGTATTACAACCCAAATATGGGCATTAGTGCCCTCGCTCAATGAAATCATTTGCCCGACGTTAGGAGGGCAAAAAATGATCACCTGCACTCGAGCACAAACTCCCATATTTGGGCAGTAATATATACAAGTCAACATTGCTAGCAGACACAGTAATTAATCCATCTGGACACTTTGAAACTATTATTATTTTTCTCCCTAAAATTGTAAGGGAATATATATATTAATACATTTTTAATGCCACAAGTGTGGGTGTTTTTTTTTTGTGGATAATTTCAAAGTAAGAGTATATTTGCCTATAAAAACTTGTTTTCACAGCTGCTGTTGAGTGGATTATTCATTAGTATCATGATGTACAATGCATTCATCATTCATACATGACTTATAAATATAGCCTTAACACAGCTGTATACCAATGACATGCATCAGTCATGGCACAATCAGAATTAGTAGTCCTCCAGCTGTGTTTATACAATTCTTATATTAGATGTGCTTTTC